ACTGTACATTGAGGGTGTGCCACAGTTGAATAACTCTACAGCATCAGTTCATCTATACACAGTCTTAACAGTTATATCCATTAAGCTCTACTTTTTTTACATATTGTAAGATATTATATTTCCTAATTTATTATATTTTCTGTTTAAGTTTAAAATTGTTTTAAGCGATTGTTGTGTGTGCATGCATTTAAAGTATGCATTTAAAAATTTTGTAAAATTTGTTAATAATATACAGTGGACCCTTGCCTAACGATATTAATCCGTTCCTGAGAGCTCATCGTTATCCGAAATTATCGTTAGCCGAGTTAATTTTGCCCATAAGAAATAATGGAAATCCAATTAATCCGTTCCAGACAGTCAAAAGTATTAAAAAAAAATTTTTAATGAAATATACATTTCCCTACAAAGAAAACAATAAGACATGCACAATAACTACATAAATAAATGTTAAAATGACACTTACCTTTATTGAAGAGTATTGATGAGTGATGAGACACTGTTTTTTTTTTGATCACTGGGATTTTCAGAGTGATACACCAGTAAAGACTTCACTTTGCAATCCCCACTAGCATTACAACAAAACATGAGAGTTAGCCTGTCTTTCATAGGCTTGTGTCCTGGGAATGCCTTTTCCTCCTGAGTAATGTAGGTCCTGTTTGGCATTTTCTTCCAGAACAGGCCTGTTTCGTCACAATTGAACACTTGTTGGGGGATGAATTTTTCAGCTTCACTATGCCTTATTGCACTGTGCATGCCACTACAATTCTTAAATCTCTCAAACCAACCTTTGCTGGCCTTAAATTCACCAATATGAGCACTAGTTCCAGGCATTTTTTCCTGTTTACCCGGGTGTTAGTTGACTGTTGTGGGTCGCATCCTGGGGGACAAGATTAACCCATAAACGGTCCAAACGTATATATACGTTTTTTCAACATTTGAAAGTATGTAAAACAAGTAGATCTTCTTCTTTGTTTTTCTACATTTGAAAATGTGTAAAAAAACTTTGATCTACTTTTTTTTTTGTCATATTTGAAAATATGTAAAAAAACGTAGATCTACTTTTGTAGCACTACACATGTGAACGTAGATCTGCTTGGACCGTTTATGGGGTAAGGACCCCAATGGAAATAAGTTAGACAGTCCTCGATGATGCACTGACTTTCTTGGGTTATCCTGGGTGGCTAACCCTCTGGGGTTAATCATTTCTCGGTAATTGTTTCACGTTAAGCCACACCAACAACACACTCTCCACATCTTTGAGTAGTACAGCTGATGGTGGTGCAGCAACAGCTGACTGTGGTGGAGCAACAGCTGACTGGTGCAGCAGCAGCTGACTGTGGTGCAGCAGCAGCTGACCATGGTGCAGCAGCAGCTGACTGGTCCAGCAACTGCTGACTGTGGTGCAGCAGCAGCTGACTGATCCAGCAACAGCTGACTGGTCCAGCAACAGCTGACTGGTCCAGCAACAGCTGACAGTGGTGCAGCAGCAGCTGACTGATCCAGCAACAGCTGACCGTGGTCCAGCAGCAGCTGACTGATCCAGCAACAGCTGACTGGTCCAGCAACAGCTGACCGTGGTGCATCAGTAGCTGACTGATCCAGCAACGGCTGACTGATCCAGCAACAGCTGACTGGTCCAGCAACAGCTGACTGTGGTGCAGCAACAGCTGACTGATCCAGCAACAGCTGACTGCTCCAGCAACAGCTGACTGGTCCAGCAACAGCTGACTGTGGTGCAGCAGCAGCTGACTGTGGTACGATAGTATTTATCACCCTTTTTACCACAGGGTTGGCACTAGTAGCTTTCTTTGGGCCCATGGCGGCTTATTTAGCAGTTACAAGCACTATAAACAATGGAATAATACAAAATGTATCAAATGTATGCATGCAACCGTCCACCCTGGCTTGTAAACAATGCCACCGGTGGAACGAGTGAGGCTGGCTCAGGCCGCACATGGATGCGTCTCGGACGAATCGCGTTGAGCGAGTTTTTTAGTGCTAGGCAAGGCAAAATTTTTGCGTTAAAATGTATTGCTAGGCGGATTTAACGTTATGTGATGCCAACATTAGGCGAGGGTCCACTGTACTCAACTTTCTTCTCTATTGGGATATTTAAATCAGGGATTACTCTTTCTTTTAAGTTTTGGTTTTATAACAGTATATTTTTTTTATTTAGGAAGGAGGGTAATCAAATTACTACAGCTTAATTTTTTTTTTTTAAATTTGAATAGTAGTAATGCTGAATAAGCTGCTTTTTCTTTGGCAAGAAATTAGCTTTGGGCATGTCTCTATCTATACTCACATTTTTATTGTAGTTTGGGAACATTTATGTATCCTTAGCATGGGAGACATTACATGTTCTTGCATGTAGTATCTGTTTACCATGAGACTGCCTCTTTGGATCAACAAATACAAGTAAATTATTTTTTATGCAGTATACAGGTAATGCAGCTTACATGTAAGAAAATATTGTTAGGGCTGTGTTGCTATTAACCCTTTGAGGGTCTGAACCGTAGAGCTACTTCATGAGCTCAGCTCACTCTGATAAGCTGTGAGCGGTAAATTTTGGCCTAGATATGAGAGAATACATCTATGTGGTATGTGTGCACCACATAAAACAAATCCTGCAGCACAAAGTGCATAATGAGAGAAAAAAACTGACCATAATTTTCAATTAAAATGGCGACTTTGCAGTGTTTTTTCGTATGTTTTTTATAGGTGTATTTGCGATTTCTTGATCTCATTTGATAGACTGGAAGGTATATTACAGAAATAGAGATGATTTTGATTGGTTTTAGTACTGGAAATGGCTTGAAACTGAGCTCAAAGCAGCAGAAATGTTAAATTTTTGCCAATGTTCAAGAGTAAACAAATGACCTCACAAGTCTATTACACACCTGCTGGTGGGTCTAATATACGTTCACAAATGTGGTGATATTATTTATACAATTATTACAATATTGCATAACAGTAAATCTTCTATTTTTTGGTTTGAATAAAAATTCATTATGTGAATAAAAAATCAAAATGGAATTCATTAGTAAAGCCTGAAAAATGTAACTAATGAACAGAGGATATGTTAGTTTAGTGCCAGGAATGCTTGCATTGTTTATTCTGGACTCTATTTTGAAATTGGAGTACAGGTACCATCCGATTTACGACCGAGTTCGGTTCCGACAAACTGGTCGTAAGTCGAAATGGACGTAAGTTGAACCTTACTACTGAATATCAACATCACATTTTTGTAATGACTTTATTTTATTGTTTTATTTTGGTATTTCAATTTTTACTTTACTTTTTATGCTGTTAGTACTGTATTTTATACTGTAAGGTTTAGGTTAAACACTGTGTACAACACAAACAGTTGTTTATTTCCCAGAAATTTGGCATAGAAAACGCGGTCGTAAGTCAAATGGTCGTATGTCGAGCAGGTTGTAAGTCGGATGGTAGGTGTATTTTGAACTTTGCATTAAATTGGCCAAATTACCAATTTCCGATCACTTTATTTTGTAGTTAAAACAGTTGACTTGGTGAATTCTTGTGCTCAATCGATAAAAATAAGTAATACTAGTGAAATAGCTAAGAATTTGGTTGACTGGAATAATGTAATTGGCCTAAAATGGGAGTCAAAGTCGGCAAAATCGTCGATGCGTAAATATCGCTGACACATCAAAATTCACGAGAGCATAATTTCGTCAATTTTCCATCAAATTTCATACTTTTTGTTTTATTACCTTCAGAAAAAAGATTCTCTGCCATTTCATAAGAAAAAATAAAATTATTTTTTGAACATTCTTGGACACTGGTGCACACTTTGAAATTTGGCCTCTGGACCCTGAAAGGGTTAATTTACTAATTTTAGAGCCAGGTTTGTTTAAATAATCATACTCAGTAGTCTGTAGCAATAAAAACTCTTCAGGCATTGACTTCTTACTTCAAGTACAGTTCGTTGCATTGGTATAATTAATTTTTTCATTTTCATGTTTTCATTTATTGATTAGAGGCTTAAACCTTTGGAGACTTTGAGTTACTTTCCTCTCAAGGTTCACATCTTCCCACTCAGTGACTCTTAACTTTCATTTAGTTATACAGTAGGACCCCCATATCTGAGGGTCCAGTATCCACAGTTTCAGTTATCTGCAGTTTACCGTGGCCCAAGAATTGCCCTTAATTTTGCTCAGTAATGACCTCCACAGTACAAAACTAGTGATGGTGGAATTTCTTCAAAGCCTAAGAGAAGCTGGGAAGTCCTTCCCATCAGTGAATAAGTGATAATTCTCCATTTATTGTATGTAATTGATCAGTTTATAATAGGTATGTACAGGACTTTGTATATAGGGTTAGCTACTATCTGTGGTTTTGGTATCCACAGCAGGTACTTAGAACGTATTCCTGCGGATTTGGGGGTCCTACTGTATCTTTATAGCATTTCTTCCTGATATCCGAACCTGCTCCTATAATGTTTAAATTTGTGTTGTATGGGGCATCCTATTGGCAGCTCCTTCCTATAGTCCAGCAATATGCAGTCTAACTTTCTGAGGTTGTATACTTTAGTACAGGTATTACCCTACACTTAAATGATATACTATATTATTCTTTAGTGCTTGTTGAGAGTGCTAAAGGCTGTGTTTGTCACTTCGATGGTAAAAGTTACCACTGGTATGTATTGAGATTTCTAAAGCCTGTTTGCCAGTGTTGCCTCTATTTGTGACCTTAACTTGTTTGTTAGAATCTGACAATAGAGTGATTGTGTACTGGCCAAGTTACATGGTTCACTTTGGTTGAAAAATGTAATGTAGCAAGATCTGTCTTATCGTGAGTGAAGGAGATTTCAAGGTCATACATGAAGATAGTGTAATCTTTAGTGGTATGATGTTTAAGATTGCCAGGTTTTAGTCTTTTTAAGAAATTTTATTTACAAATACATTTAATATACAGTATAGCACACTGAATTTGGAACTGTTGTTACAACTAAAAACTATCATTAAATTTTTTTTCAGATAATGCCTGTAGAAGACAAATCAGTTATAGAAGAAAATGTAGCAAAAATTCCTGTAGGCAGCATCCAGGCAGCAAATGGTCATGCGGGATCAATTTCATTCAGAAGCAAGTCAACCATGGAGATGAATGGCAGCAATGGTCACCAAACTTCACATGATTCTACCCCTTGTAGGTATACATTTATATATTATGGCCTGTATATTCTGAATGTGTTAGTGAACTTTGACTGTTCTTGCAAATTGTATTGACACTGTAAATGTCTCTTCTTTGTACTGTCATCCTCCCCTCTTAATGACATTTTTTAATTTAATTTTGCTTTAAAAAAGTAGCCAATTTCATAGCTTGTTCTGATATGGCAGGCTCTTGCACTCTTGCGGCTAACAAATGAGCACATGCAGTGGTGGCTAGACCAGAAACATGGTGAGGCATGACCATTTGATACATTTTACCCTTTCAAGCCCACATTCCAAATGGTATAAAGTGAAAAGATTTTTCAGTGGTAGACAGGCTAAGATAAAGAGCATTAATTCAGATTCCAGATTTGCTGTTTGAATGGAGTTCTTCATCTAAAGTATATGCTACAACAGTGGACAACATATTGTTGGCGCTCATGATAAAATGGCAATGCGACTTCACAGGGTCTTCATTTGGGAAATTTCAAAAAGCAGACACCCAGAACATATTGCCACATGGTTCCAACAGGCAGAGGAAGGCAGTAACAGAAAGAGTCAGTGAACTCCTGTGCAACGAAGAGTCTAATGCACATTGCCAAATAAGGCTATTATTAACAATAAAGCATAGTATTTCTCTACTGACTTTATTATTTAGTTGTAGTTAAAGTGAGAGTAAGAGGTAGATGGGGTGCAAAGAAAATGGCATCAGTGAGTAAGAGAGAGGTGAAAGTTTATAAACTAAAAGAGGAGGTAAATAAGGTAAAATATAAGCAACTATTAGGAGACAGAATTCAGAGTTTGGAGATTAGGAGGAGGTGTGGAATTGCCAAAAGCATTATTCAGAGGGCTGATAAGGGGTTGCTGAGAATGGTTTGAACATTTGGAGAGGAAGAAGAAAAATTAGGATGACTAGGAGGGTGTATAGATCTGGGGTGGAAGAAGAGAGGGGTAGGGGTCATCCTAGGAAAGATTGAAGAGAGTGGATAAAGAAGGTTTTGAGTGTTAAGGGCTTGGGCATCCAACAGGCTTGCATGAACATGCTAGATGGGAGTGGAGATAAGTGTGAGCAAGGTGACATTTATGAAGAGGTTCAGGGAAACCAGTTAACCCGACTTGAGTCCTGGAGGCAGGAAGTCCTGCAGTTGGGAGGGTCATCTGAACTGTGATGTCAGCACGCCTCTGGCAAGACAGTGATTGAATGACAGTGAAATTGTTTTACTTTGTCGGGTCACCTTACCTCGGTGAGAGATGGCCACAGTGCTTAAAAGATTTTAAACTTTTCATTTATTTTTTTATTAACACTGGCCGATTTCCACCAAGGCAGGGTGGCCCGAAAAAGAAAAACTTTCACCGTCATTCACTCCATCACTGTCTTGCCAGAAGGGTGCTTTACACTACAGTTTTTAAACTGCAACATTAACACCCCTCCTTCAGAGTGCAGGCACTGTACTTCTCATCTCCAGGACTCAAGTCCGGCCTGCCAGTTTCCCTGAATCCCTTCATAAATGTTACTTTGCTCACACTCCAACAGCACGTCAAGTATTAAAAACCATTTGTCTCCATTCGCTCCTATCAAACACGCTCACGCATGCCCGCTGGAAGTCCAAGCCTCTCGCACACAAAACCTCCTTTACCCCCTCCCTCCAACCTTTCCTAGGCCGACCCCTACCCCGCCTTCCTTCCACTACAAACTGATACACTCTTGAAGTCACTCTGTTTCGCTCCATTCTCTCTACATGTCCGAACCACCTCAACAACCCTTCCTCAGCCCTCTGGACAACAGTTTTGGCAATCCTGCATAACTTTGGTTAATTGTTTTCCTTAGAATTGCAAATCTTCAGAAAACTTAAATCTTCCCAGTAAGGTCCTGCAGTATACCAGATAGTGGCTTTTGAGGCACCAACTGGTGACAAAATATTTCTAGGAAGACCTGGTGTCTCAGTATAGTCCATTAGCATTAAGTTCTGTCATCCATCTGCCATTCCATTTCCTCACTTGATCCAGGTCATCTTTATTATTTTGCACAAGATTTTTGTATTGTTTTCAGAAAAAAAAAAGTTTTCTAATCTTTTTGGCAAGTCATTTATTCAAATGAAAAGCAGTACATGGCAAGTACGCTTCCTTGTGGCACTTCTCTGTAATGCTTTCCTCAAGAGAACACTTTCTCTCTTATCAGTGTTTGCATTTTCCTCTGTTTCTCATTTCGGTGATCGGCCATTTGGGACGCATCCATCCACCGGCTGGGGCCACTTGTGCATCAGTTTGGCTATGTCCCTCGGTGGCTGAGGAAGCTTCTGCTCATACATCCAAATAATTTGCTTATTTCCCATTGTAGTTTGTGTTATTTTTGCAGTGCAACTGTGAAATAAGTAACCATGGCTCCAACAGTTCCTGTGGTAAAGAAAGTGAGAAACGCCATGGAATTTAAGTGCAAAGTGATAGAAAAGTTTGAGAGTGGTATGAGGATTGTGGAACTTGCCAGGATGTACAGCAAGAATAAATCAACAATTACATCCATCTTGGCAAAGAAAGAACAAATCAAGGATGCTAATGTTGCAAAAGGAGTAACTTTTCTAACTAAACAAAGGCCACCAATTATGGAAGAGATGGAAAAATTATTATTATTGTGGATTAAGGAAAAAGAATTAGTGGGAGACAGTGTCGTGGAGTCGATTATTTGTGAGAAGGCAAGGCAGTTGCATGAGGATCTTGCAAAGAATATGCCTGGAACAAGTGCTATAGTTTGTGAATTTAGGGCCAGCAAAGGATGGTTTGATAGATTTAAGAAACGTAGTGGCATACACAGTGTTGTAAGGCATGGTGAGGCTGCAAGTTCTGACAAATGTGCGGCTGAAAAATTCGTGCAGGAATTCCAGGGGTACATAGAGGCAGAAGGATTCAAACCCCATCAAGTGTTCACTTGTGATGAAACAGGCCTGTTTTGGAAAAAAAATGCCAAACAGGATCTATATTACCCAGGAAACAAGCCTATGAAAGACAGTCTTACTCTTTTGTTTTGTGGTAATGCTGGTGGGGTTTTCCAAGTGAAGCCTTTGCTCGTGTATCACTCAGAAAATCCCAGTGTGTTCAAGAAAAACAATGTCATGAAGAATAGATTGTGTGTGATGTGGAAAGCTAGTCATAAGGCGTGGGTCACAAGGCAAATCTTCAAAGAGTGGGTTAATGATGTGTTTGGCCCAAGTGTGAAAAAATACTTCCTGGAAAAGAAATTGCCACTCATTTGCCTCATGGTACTGGACAATGCTCCTTCACAACTTCCAGACTTGGAAGACCAAATGTTTAGGGTCTTCAATTTTATAAAAGTGAAGTTCTTGCCTCATAACACCACTCCTCTCCTCCAGCCTATGGACCAGCAGGTCATTTCTAACTTTAAAAAACTCTACACAAAAGCAGTGTTTCAAAAGTGCTATGAAGTGACCTCAGACACTCAGTTGACCCTAAGAGAGTTCTGGAGGAATCACTTCACTATCCTTCTTTGCATAAGCCTTATAGGTAAGGCTTGGGAGGGAGTGACTTCCAGGACTTTGAACTCTGCTTGGAGAAAACTGTGGCCAGATTGTGTCCAAGAGAGGGATTTTGAAGAGTGAGGCTGACCCTGACCCTGCCGACCCTGTGGACTCTATTGTAGCACTGGGGAAGTCCCTGGGGTTGGAGGTGAGTGGCGAGGATGTGGAAGAGTTGATGGAGGACCACAGGGAAGAGCTAACCACTGAAGAGCTGCAAGAGCTTCAACTTGATCAACAACAGACTGCAGCTGAGGAACTTGCTCAGAGGAGGAGGAAGAGGGAGTGAAGGAGGTGCCTTCTTCATTGATTAAGAACATTTGTACAAAGTGGAATGATGTGCAATGTTTTGTTGAAGTACCACCCTGACAAAGCTGAAACAAGCCATATCTGCAACATGTTTAGTGCCAAAACCCTGTCCCACTTCAGGGAAATCTTAGAGATGCCAGAAACAGAGCACTCTGGACAGTTATTTTGTGAGACAAGGGTTCAGTGACTCAAGCTGGTCCTAGTGGCATTAAAAGACAAAGAAGGGAAGTAGGCCCAGAGAAGGCTTTGCTACCTGAAGTCTTTATGGAGGGGGATTCCCCTTCCAAACACTAACTCCTCCCTCTCCTCCTCCTCCCTATCTTCCAGAAGCCAGCATTAGCCTTCAATAAAAGTATGTAATATTTATATAATTGTTAAATTTTTTTTTTTTTGTGAATATTTTCATCTGGAACGGATTAATTGCATTTACATTAATTCTTATGGGAAATGTTATTTTGGTTTTCGGCCAACCTTCTGGGACAGATTACGGCCGATAACCGAGGGACCACTGGAATAGTTTGCATTTTATTAATCATATACTTTAAGTTTCCAAATTAGTTTCTTATGGGAAGTGCTATGATATTTTTCTTAAAATTTAGATTGATACACTGCCCATCCATTTTCTCTTTAACAATTTGTGACTGTTATAATAGTTAATAAATTTTATATATAAGAATTTCCAGACCCAAAGTCAAATTGTTGACTAGCCAGAAGGTTATTCCTATGTGTTTTATCCACTTTTCTTTATTATGTTTTCAATATTTTTATGACAGGCCACTGATATTGATCTATAATTTAAAGAGTCTGCCCTGTCACCTCTTTTAAATATTGGTACAGTGTGAGCCATCATTTGCCTGCCAGTTTACTCTCTTGTAGAGAAATTCTAAAACAAAATTCAAGTGGATAGCTCAGTTCTTCTCATTTTAAAACCTATTTTTTTTTTTTTTTTTTTTTTGTGTGTGTGTGTGTGTGTGTGTGTGTGTGTGTTAATGTCTGGTAATAATTTCTTTACTACTACTACTACTATAGTTGTCTCAGTATAGTCTTAAGTCGGTTATCTGTTGGGGTTTTAAATCTGCTGTTTTGTATATAAAATATCTTCTTTTGTAAGCACACTATGAAACTTTCTATTTAATACTTCGCACATTTCTCCCCCACACTTCAGTGATTATGTTGTTCTTAATTCTTTGTACAGTGGACCCCCACATAGCGACTTTAATCCGTGCAAGAGAGCTCATTGTTATGCAAAATGATCGGTATGCGAATGAATTTTCCCCATAAGAAATAATGGAAATCATATTAATCTGTGCAAGACACCCAAAAGTATGAAAAAAAAAATTTTACCACAAGAAATATACATTTTCCTACACACAAAGAGAAGGATACATGCACAATAGTAGAGTAGTACATGCACAATATATATTGTGCATGTACTACTCTACTAAATGAAGAATAAATGACACTTACCTTTATTGAAGATGCAGCAATGACTGATGAGACACTGTGTCCTGGGAGTGCCTTTTCCTCCTGAGTACTGTAGGTCCTGTTTGGCATTTTCTTCTAGAACAGGCCTTATCACACTGTGTATGCCACTACGATTCTTAAATCTCTCAAACCAACCTTTGCTGGCTTTAAATTCACCAATATGAGCACTAGTTCCAGGCATTTTTCCCTGTTCACCTGGGTGTTAGTCGACTGGTGTGGGTTGCATCCTGGGAGACAAGATTAAGGACCCCAATGGAAATAAGTTAGACAGTCTTCGATGACACTGACTTTTTTGGGTTATCCTGGGTGGCAAATCCTCTGGGGTTAATTGTTTCTTGGTATTCTCAATAAGCCACACGAACAACAGTGCTACAGCAGCAGCAGCAGCAGCAGCAGCTGACAGTGCTACAGCAGCAGCAGCTGACAGTGCTACAGCAGCAGCAGCAGCTGACAGTGCTACAGCAACAGCAGACGATGCTACAGCAGCAGCAGACGGTACTACAGCAGCAGCAGACGGTACTACAACAGCAGCAGCAGCAGCTGACGGTGGTACAACAGCAGCAGCAGCTGACAGTGCTACAGCAGCAGCAGACGATGCTACATCAGCAGCAGACGGTACTACAGCAGCAGCAGCTGACGGTGGTACAACAGCAGCAGCAGCTGACAGTGCTACAGCAGCAGCAGACAATGCTACAGCAGCAGCAGATGGTACTACAGCAGCAGCAGCAGCTGACGGTGGTACAACAGCAGCAGCAGCTGTACCACCAATAGTAGCGATGGTTGATTGGGGTTTATTATACAACCTGGCCAGCTCGGAGACATGCACTCCACTTTCATACTTATCAATGATCTTTTTCTTCATCACTATAGTAATTCTCACCCTTATTGCTGTAGGGTTGGCACTAGAAGCTTTCTTGGGGCCCATGGTCACTTATTTTGCAGATAAAATCACCAAAAACACTGTAATAATACGAAATGTTCCGATTGTATGCTTGGATGTTACCGCGGAGGCTGGCTGGTAAACAATGCCACCGGCGACACATGTGAGGCTGGCTAAGGGCGCACATTGGACGCGTCTCGGACGAAGAGCGGTGAGCGGGTTTTTGAGCGGTATGCGAGGCAAAATTTTTGCGATAAAAGTGAGCAGTATGCGGATTGAACGTTATGTGATGCCGACGGTATGCGGGGGTCCACTGTATTTTGTGTTCAACATTTAGTTTACTTTTGTTACAAACTTTAATAAGAAATTTGGTTCCATCTTGCCCTCTCTTCCTCCCTCCTTACATTTGTATATTTATTTCTGGCTTGTATATATATCTGGTTAAGTGTGTCTATTATCAGGCTTCACACATTGGTACCTGGTTCTTTTCAGTGCTCACGAAATCGTAATGACACGATTGCAAACAAACCATACCACGGATGGGGATAGAACCTGCGATCAGAGTGTCTCAAAACTCCAGACCGTCGTGTTAGCCACTGGACCAGCTAGCCACAATAAGATTCATCCAACTAGGTATATTTCTACACCATAGGAAGGTTAGCATAGGCACCACTGTGACCACAAATGCAAGTTTTTACAGATGAATCTCCAGCTAACGTGGCAGTGACGAACTCTAGCTGTCAACATGACGGGTTCTATCCCTGTCCGCGGTATGGTTTCTTTTCAGTGCTCTTTAGTGCCTTCCGTAATATCATTTTTTAATATTTCATCTTTCACCCTTTTTTTTTTAATCAGCTGTTTAATTCCAGTTTAATAAATGTTACAGAACTCTCTTTGTATAAATTATTTATAACTTTCTCATTTAATATGTCTTATTTAGTTTCTCTAAAATACTACCATGAAGCCTTCAGTTCTTCTCTTATAATCTAGTCATTCCTGTTTGGGTTTATTTTTTCTTCTAAGTAATGTTTAACAGCATATGTTATTTTCAGTAGATCAGGATCATTTTCCAAGTGGATTTAGTTTGTTGAAAATTATTTCCTCTCTTCTAGTGAACACCACTTCAAAAGTTTTGGCAGTGTTGCCTTCTCACACTCATGTTAATTCATCTGTATGCTTATACATAAAAAAGTCATTATGTTAATGAAATTCTTTTGACCATTTATTTGAAATTCAGTCTCGTAAGTTGCCCAGTTTATTTTCTTGAAGTTGAATCTCCAATTACAATAACTCTTTTTGTTGTCACTTTTCAGCGATAGTGGATGTATCATATGTAATTCCATATGGTAAATGATCCACATGGTATACTTGTAATTGATTTAGGTTTTCCTACTTCTGCAAACTGGCCAGTGATCAAAGTTATAGTAATGACCTTATCAAACTTTTGCTGCTCTCATTTTGTTGGCTCGCGTAAAGTAGCCATCAGAACGAGTTGGTCTAACACTCATGTTTATGCTAGCTTCCTTAGCATTTTGTCTCGGCAAGTATGCGCATGAAGGTTAGGTGTAATAAGATTCCGAGTAGAATATGGTAAATATTACTTAGATACTCTGAGATACTGTATATAGGTACAGTATGTGAAATTGTAACATAAACGTTTGGCGCTTGAAAACTCGTCACCACACGGCCAAGGTAGAGCTACATTTGCCAGCAGCATGAGCTGTCTATGCTGTAACCTGCTAACTAACAGCTGGACTTTGAGTAGAGAAGTGTATAAAAAGCTTGAAATAGAAATCAAACCTGACTTTAAAAATGTATGGAATCTTCAAGGAAAGCAAATCATAACATGAAACTGTACATTACAGCATTAACTATGTTGCACTCTACCTCAGTGTCATTTTTATCCTTTGTAAACCTGAATCAGGTATTTTATATGATTTTGCATGCTTCCATTTTCCTTGATCATAAATAAGTTTCTCTTGGCTTTTCATAGGAGTACATATCTGATACTTTCAAATTAATCTTAAACCTTTATTTATGTCTATTATCCCAGATCCTTGTGAATTTGAAATTTTTCTCCAGCTATGCCATGGTTTGGAATGGACATTGGTGGAACCCTGACAAAGCTGGTATATTTTGAACCAACGGATTTGAGTGAGGCAGAGGAAGAAAGTGAAGTGGAGACCATCAAAAACATTCGAAGATATCTCAAAAGTAACTCTGCTTATGGTGAAACAGGTCACAGAGATGCCCACCTCCAGGTTAGTTACAACTGTAGCTTTTGACTTAGTAAGATTAAGTTCAAAAGAGTCCCTTTTTTTTTTTTTTTTTACACGAGATGCTTCTAAGAATCCTCTTTGAATGGATCTCGTTATCATGTTCAAATTATAATGTACACCCCATTAAATTGAGTCTTCACTTATTTACATACTTTTTGCATACTATTCCTAAACATCTCCTTAATAAAAATTCACATTTCACTTAACCCTTTCTGGGTCGAGAGGCCCTCTCCTAAACTTGTCCTCAGGGTCGAAAATTTTCCAGGAAAAAAAAATTATTTTTCTTATGAAAAGATAGAGAATCTTTTCCTGATCATAATGACACCAAAAGTATGAAATTTGATGGAAAACTTACGGAATTATGTTCTCGCAAAGTTAGCGGTCTCAACGATGTTTATGCATCGGCAATTTTGCCGACTTTGAGCCCTATTTTCGGCCAATTCCAGTATACTAGTCGACAAAAATCATAACTATTTCACTAGAACTCCATTTTTTCTATCGAATGAGTACAAGAAACCACCCATTTACCGATTTCAACTATCCAATAAAGTGGTCAGAAATTAGCAATTTTGCCAATTTCACACAAATTTCAAAAGATGCCAATTTCCAAATAGGGTCCAGAATAAACAAGACAGACATTCCTGGCACTAAAATAACATTTCCTCTGTTCATTAGTCATGTCCCCACCCCCTCTTACATTTCTTTTGCTTTCCACTTTGAATTTTTATTCTCACAAAAAAAATAGAAGATTTACTGTTATGCAGACTACTGCATTAGTGTAGAAATGGTACAAAATAATATCAGCGCACTTGTGAAAGAATATTAGACTCACCAGTTGACGTGCATTGGACGCATGGCATGATTTGTTTACTTTTGAACTTTGGCAAAAATCGAACATTTCTGCTTCTTTGAGCTTAATTTCAAGGTACTTTTTATTGTGAAACCAATCAAAATCATCTCAATTTCTGTAATATGTCTTCCATTCTATAAACGAGACCAGGAAAACTAGAATACAACCATAAATACCATACGAAAATACAGTGCTAAGGCGCTGTTTTAAACAAAAAACACGGTCAAAGTTTTTTTTCTCATTACGCACTGTGTGCTGCAGGATTTTTTTTTATACTGCGCACACTAACCACATAAACCCATTCTTTCATATGTAGGTCTACCAGCTTTCTCTCACTAGATTTGAAGGCGCTAGAATTTAGGTGTACTAGTACATCAATAACCCTGGTGCATAAGCCGTACTGGTACGTTGGAAACCCTGAAAGGGTTAAGATTTAGGTGATTTATTGGTAGAGTTAAATATAGAGTATTGGGTACATCGAAAAGAGATCTGGTCTTGTGTTATGGTCATGTGTCCTGTTAAGGTTGGTGAGGAGAAGTTTGAGTGGAGGGTTTATATTTGCATGTATTGTTCTGTGTATGTAGTAGGCACATGAATAAGTATGGATGTTCTTAATGGTGAGCAGATTTAGACTTTTGAAAATTGATGCAGTATGCTGGCGGGAGTGGGAATTTGTTATTCTGACTGCTGCCTTTTGCTGGGTTATTAGAGGTCTTAGGTGATTTAATGTTGTTCATCCCCATGCACAAATTCCATATGTGAGATAAGGGTATAGGAGCAAAAGGTACAGTGCCAGGAGAGCTGATTGTGGAACGTAGTACCGTATCTTTGATAGTATGCCTACAGTCTTAGAGATTTTCTTGGTGATTTGTTGTATGTGTGTCTGGAACTTAAGGCTACTGTCCAGGTGGATACCTAGGAATTTTCCCTCTGTAAGTCTTGTGACTGATGATCTGTTTAGATGTAAGTCTTGTGACTGATGATCCGTTTAGATATTGTTGGTAGCAACAGGCAGTTGCTCATAGTGTTTGTGAATTCGGTTACTTGTGGGTCCTGGTCATGTAGTAAGTTTGTTGAAATCTCCTGTTAGTAGCAGGTGGTCTTTATTCATGTGTGCATCAGTAATCATGATTCCTAGTTTTTCACTAAAGTGGTAAATGCTTGACTGTGGTACTCTGTAGATGTTTATAACTGTGAGGGGTTTTTGCAGGTCTTTTGATTTAAATTAAGGGGAAAATGGTTTTGGTATTTGTAAATTTCAACTTTCGTCACACTCTCTGGAATGGATTAATTACGAAATTCGAGAGTCCACTGTACTTGGTTGTGCTGGCAAATTTTTAACGTCCGTTTGAGATTAAAACTAAAGTTTAAAGTGGCGCAAATGTGTGAGTGCAGATGGCACAAGTCATTATGTTAAGCTGGGGTCCTGGGTTAAGCAGTTTGTGTAATTTTGATAATTTATCTCGTATGTCCTGTATGCTCACATAATGTAACTACCTCAGTATATGGTACAGTAATGTTAATTAAAAATGAATTATGTACTAGTGCTAGCACTGCTTGGCAGTGTCTAAGAATTAGGGATCTGTTATGATTTCAAGTCTCAGTTGAAAGTAATACTGTCTTAGTGCAGCAGAGGAGTGTGTGATGGAGGGTGGGTCAGTGTATCTGGATGCATACTGTACTGTTTTTGTTTAGCTTTTCCTTTTCATTACACCATCTCATCTGTGGGCATTTATCATGGCATCCAAAAGAAATGCAGGTGACTGTGGGGAATCAAGGAAGAAAATTAAGCATTCAACTATACCTGTTTTGGAAAACTGGAGGTACTGTAATTGAGATGCTGTAGAGTGGTGTACATGTCATGGAGGCAGCTCAAGCGTTCATTGATAAAAAATCAAAGCTTTGTTCAATTCATGCCAATGAAGCAAAAATAAGCGCTTGTTCAAAAAGTAATCCTCAGTGTGACACAGTGAAGAGAATTAGGAATAGGTCATTACAGCTAAATAATAGAGAAAATTTTCTAAATGGGAGGATGTGGCCTTGTTAGGAAAAAACCTTATCCTACTATTAATCGATAAAATGGAAGGCATACTAGTGAAATAGCTAAGAATCTGGTTGACTGGAACAACGTAATTGGCCTAAAATAGGACTTAAAGTGGGTAAAATTACCGATGCGTAAATATCGCTGACAGCAAAATTCGTAATAACAATTTTGTCAGTTTTCCATCAAATTTCATACTTTTTGTTTTATTGCCATCAGAAAAAGATTTTCTACAGCCTTAAGACAAATACACATTTCCAGATGGTTTAACCACTTTAGAATGGCCAGTGGGTTGCATAATATAAAGTTCAGTGGGGAGAGTGCCTCTGCCTACCATGCTACTGTAGAAAAGTTCCCAGCCAATCTTGTTAAACATCATCTCCGAGAATGGCTATAAACCTGAGCAGGTGTTTAAAGCTGATGAAAGAAATTTGTTTTGAAAATGTATCAGGAAATTTTAAATGTAAGCCTTTGCTTGTTTATCACTACACAAGTCCCTGTGCTTTTAAGTTTAAAGACAGAAGCACTCTGCTTGTTATTTGGAAATCCAACAGCACAGCATGAGCATGGGTGATTGATACCTTCTTTACTGAGTGGTTCAAACATCACTTTATTCCTGAAGTGAGGATGTACCTGTCCCTGAAAAATTTTGCATTCAGGGTTCTCATCCTTGATGATTGTTGTAGTTATCCTCAGCTCCTGGAGGGTATGGAACCACATAATTGATACAACTGTTGGATCGAGGAATTGCCAAAACATAAAAGTACATACCACTACACACACAGTGTGTTGCAGAAATGATGTTGAAACTCCATTTCCAATATTAGCTCAATTTTATGCCAGACACAGGATATACCAGAAGAATCAAAATTCACCTTTCCAGTTAAGGATGACTTATCAGAAAGCAGTTGACAAAACTGATAGTGAAATGCCAGAGTTTTTGGTGCAAATTTAACATTGCACATTCACTCTCCTATGTCAGAGAAACATGGGGTTATGTACCAGAATCAGCAATAAATGCTGATAGAGAAGAGAAAAATATGACCTTGTGTGGTGAATGATTTTACAGGTTTTCCATCAGTAGAAAGTCAGGGTTAGGAAATTGTTGATCTGGCAAGGAAAGTGCCAGGTGAGGGATTTGAAGATATGCAGCCAGATGATATCCATGAGCTCCTGAATGATGATGATAAGAAACTAGCTGCAGAGGAAATATTGCAGGAATTAAATTCCCCAGATGCAGAGATGAAGATGGATGAAGAACCTGAACCTGAATGATGGATGTTAACACTGCAGGAGAAATGAGTCATTTTATACTGTTGGTAAAGTTCCAGACTTGTTTATTGAAAAATTCATGACCCATCTCTGAGCATTGCTGTAAAGCATACTCTGGAGAAGGTGTTTGGACCTTATTGTCTGCTGTGTAAAGAACTGCAGGATAAAACAAACCAGCAATGTATGACAGAGTACCTGAGGACTCCAACTTTCAGCATCAAAAGATGCCCAACCTTGAATCTCACATCATCAACCCTAACCATCAACCTTGGCCCAGCAGAGCCACAGCCACCATTTCTACTCACTTAGAATGTTAAGCATCCCCAGCCCAGCTTAAAGGTAAGTAACAAATTCTATATAGTATTAATGTAATCATTTTGTAGCTACATGTACTATTTAAACTATCTGAACCTTACCAGAGTTAAGGTATTTTATAGATGATTCTCAAAATTAGATACATAAAAGTAATATTTTTCAAAGAATTGTAATACATTTTTTTCTAGGTATGAGGAACACAACCACATTTCTTCACTCATGTTTTTCAGTCTGTAAATCTTGATGTCATTGGTAATACACTTTTCAGGAACAATATTTTATTATTATTATCACACTGGCCTATTCCCACCAAGGCAGGGTGGCCCGAAAAAGAAAAACTTTCACCATCATTTACTCCATCACTGTCTTGCCAGAAGGGTGCTTTACACTACAATTTTTAAACTGCAACATTAACACCTCTCCTTCAGAGTGCAGGCACTGTACTTCCCATCTCCAGGACTCAAGTCCGGGCTGCCGGTTTCCCTGAACCCCTTCATAAATGTT